CTGGAGCAAAGTAAGGAAATTATCTGACTGGCTGTCCTTAGGTTTCGACTTCATAACCTTGAGGCATTTACAGGCTCAGATTTTGGTTTGCTAACATAGGCTGCCATGTCATTAGAGCCACCTCAGCCTAATGGCCTCCTTATTTAATTAATTTAGCAAAAGAAAGTGGGTGTATTGATACCCCAAAGAGGTACCTAAAGATTTCACAGAGCTTTGCGTAGATCTCACTCAACAGTCCATTTCTTCAAAGAGGGACCTTAATCTGTAAGTGCTCAGAGAATACTCTTTTAGACTAATCTGGATGTTACTATATCAAAAGGAGAGAAAAGCATCAAATTAAGAACAGCATGGAAATTTATAGACATTCAGTCCAAGTCCCTATTTTATGAAGTAAAAAGCAACAACAACAGAAAGGTAAGTTGACTTGGTTAAAGGCAGGGAGAGGACCAAAGTTGGAGTTTGTTTAGACATTTAAACAGCAATGATAAGGTCTAGACAGAGAGATAGCACTATTCTCCAAAAAGTCTATGTACATGTGTACACACATGCTGGAAAAACATTGATTAAAAAAAAAGTAAGTATCCATCAGAATTAACTGCAAGCCTTATTAAAATGCAGATTCCTGGGCCCCTGACTGGCTGTAATAAATCAGAATCTCTAAGGTATAGGGCCCAGGAATTTGAATTTTCAATAGCTCTCCAAAGACATTCATATTCACACTTGAGGCTAAGGAACTTCAGTCAATCTCAGCATCCCCCATGCACAGCACAATTAATTAAATATTCAAATTAATCGATGAAATTGAAGCAATATTCACTGAATGTATGACCAAAAAGAACAATGCCCTCAAAAAGTTCTTATTCAGGGCCTGGTCTGCATGGCCTAACAAGAATGCCAATATCTGGCCAGACCTGGGCCTTCCATAGCAAATAGGCCTGGCCTGGCCCCCTAACTCACTATTTTTCCCAACAATGAATGAAACCTAAAGTGGTTAAATTCTCTTGCTATCTACTGCTGTCTCAATGGCATGTAGTACTCTTCCATGTTCTGTAGGACTTTGCAACAAAACTTCCTGAGGTCTTTCTTTTGAAATCTATGTGGGGAAAGGGCCTAAAGGGGGACATTCTAGATATTCAATTATTCAGCAAATTTGTTCACTGTTTACAAGAGGGATAATTCATGCATGATCAAGTTGGAATTTCAAGGCAAAGTCTTCCAAATGTAAAAGGATTTTAAGAGCTAACAATACCAAAGAAAAACCACAAGAGGGTAAAACCCTATAACAAATTCCTCTCAAAATGTTCGGTTTGCTTTTTGGTACTCCAAAATAACTAACCAATTTTCAATATCCCCTCCCCACAAAAATTCTTTCTAAGACTCTCTACAACAGCTCCGAGGGAAACAATGACTGGAGAATGAAGCATGGAGAATGAAGCAGCAACAATGACTGGAGAATGAAGCATGGAGAATGAAGCAGTGCTTAAAATGGTCAGAGATCCTATCATGCAAATGTAGGAGTGCTAACTTTGGCCAGCAAAGAACTCTCAATGTGGTCAGAAGTCCTTTTACAGAGCCTGGCCCTAAAACAGAGGCTAACAGCCTTCGTGTGTTGAGGGAAAGCCTGTAGTGGTTGGGGAATTTGGGTAGTGGTGGTGGAAATACACATAACTTCATACTTTATTCTAAAGAACGAGAACAGTTACAGCATTTCTTGGTCTGCTTTTTGTAATATGCGTGAAATCATAAATCCCATCTATACTCAACGTTGGATTACAGTAGTGTTCTGTTTTCTCTAATCAAGAGAATGAGATGGGTAGAGGGAACCATTGGTTGATTGCCAACTATGTGTCAGACAGCCTCATTTTTTACACGCAACTAAGTCTCCCAGCAGTCTCATCTTTTACACGCAACTAAGTCTCCCACCCATAAAGGAGATACTTGAAGATTAAGTCAGTAGCTAATAATGTAAAACAATATATGATCTTCATTTTACATTTGAGGAAACTAAAGCTCAGAGAGGCAAAATAATTTGCCAATGTCCTGTAGCCAGTAAAGGAGGGGACAGCATGGGAATAGCGTACCATGATTTGCATTTGTCATACTCTCTCAGCCTATCACACCCTCATACAAATTTTTTTCTTGGACTGGAATGCTCTTTCTCAGCATTTCCTCCTGGCAAACTCCTATAAAACTGGAACCTTCAAAACTGGAACTAAATTTTTATTTCCTTTGAGCCTCCTCTGGTTTAGTTCCTTTGAGCCTCTTCTGGTTGCTATTTAGCACTCCTCAACTCTCAGCTTTCCCTTTTCTCCTTTATCAGAGCTCTTATCACTCTGTTGTAATTATTCCTGTGTTGGTGACCTGAGCTATACTATGAACGCTTAGGGGTAGGAACCTGCCCTTTTTCCCTTTGCATTCTGCTGTCAGGGCAGTTTACATATAACAAGAGGTCAACAAATGTTGAGGGGGAAGTCAAAGAACTAATGTAATAGTCATGAATGAATATGATATGGCTTCAAGAGTTGTCTCTCTTTTCTCCTTTCTTCCCCCAGACAAGCCAGTTTGAAAACGATCATCCTGAGTATAACTCTGAGGTCCACACAAAGAGTAAAAGGCACAGGTAGAAACATATCTTGGCTATAGATGTGCATTTTAATTTCTACTGAAGCAGCCTAAAATCATATCAGCTTTCTGGGCCCTTACAACTCACTGCTGACTCACAGAAAACATACAGTCAATTAACCATGACGTCGACGGGTTCAATTGATTACAACTTCCTCATCTTGTACTTGCTTATTTTTTAAACACCCATGTGTAGGCCTTTACATTTTTCCAGGTAAAATTTGATCTTGTTAAAAGAAAAAGAGGAGGGAGGTCAATGTTGAAAAACAGTTCCTACCGTTTCTTGACTATTGAGCTGTACACACTGTGCTACTTACATTATGTGCATCATTTCATTTGATCTTCATAATCACCCTAGGCGTTATTATTATCTGTATTCTAAATATGAGGAAAATGAGGCTTGGAGACATAAATAACTTGCCCAAGATCAGAGCTAGAAAACGGAGACAGATCCATCAGTCTCCAAAATTCAATCTCTTAACCACTGCGCTATACTGCTTGGGTGGGGCAGGGGTGGGGCCCAGCCTGTTAGGACACCTTCTGGAAATGAGAGCAAACTCTGGAAGGGATACTTCTTTAGATCAGTGATATCTAGCTCTAGAAATAAGAATTTGCCTTTTATAGAAGAGTTCAAAGGGACCAGAATGTCCTTTAAGACCAAAGACAATCTCCTTAGTTTGAAGAGAAAAATGACACACTTTAACAAGTTAAGGGACTTGCTGGGACCCCAGAGTTAACTTGGGGACTTGCCAGGACTTTAAAACTGATCTGTTGCTAGAATTCAGTGCACAGATTCTTTTAGTCCTGATCCTCACCTCGTCTCCCTGCCTACGATTCAGTTTAGAGCAGAACTGAATCTAAAAATATTAACCACTGGGAAAAAGTAACTGTATGTTCAGAACAGGCCTCCAGAGAGATGTCCTTTATAATGCACTAACAGAATTATTAATAAGAGATGCCACATATTGTAACATTATTCAATAACAGAAAAGAATAAGTGAATTGTCAAGCCACACAGATATCTGAATGCAGCAGTCTTGAAATATTCCGAATACCATTATTTTCAAGGTTCCATGAAGTTATTTCATAATTTAGATACACTTTTATTCCAGTTGGCCTCTATTAACTAGAACTTTAGACTTCTAAAGCATTCACTCCATTGGGTAGAGACTGTCAATGTAAGATTTCACACACAGTGAGAGGCTTAACAGTTGATATTTTGCTGATAAAATAATTCTAATTTTAAAATATCTTTCCCAAAAAGAAGTGAAAATATTAGAATTCAACAGAATCCCAATTTTTGCGATTTAAAAAAATAATACTTTACTAGATCACAGCACAAACAGTTTCTCTTTCTTCTCCAACCCTCTGCATTCTTTACAGAAAACACATTGGTACATTTTAATATTGAAGGAACTAAAGGAAGGCTAGGAACAAAAGTCACAAGACCAAACCACAAGTATTTGCTCGACAAAAGTGGTTGCTCTCTTCTCCCCTGGTCTTTAAGTGGTGAGAATTAAGGAGGGTGGAGAGCAACAGCACTGGGTTTTGGGGGGGCCTGGAAGGAGAGGGGAGATAGGGAAGGGGATGAAAGAAACAAACGCCAGTTTCTAAACCCTTCCTTCAGGTAAAAATATTCCCAACAGGTGACGTAGTCTCCAATAGGTGACCTTGAACTCATTTAGCATAAAACTGCAAGGGAGACGAAGAAAAAGTTAACATTGTTATACAGCCACGTTCTGTTTGCATCTTAGTTAACTGTTCAGAAATGTACACAAAAATGCTCTAGTGAGGAGGGCGGAATAAGAAAGCATCTATCCCCGAAGGAATATTCCTAGTACTTCACCTTTCCCAGATTTTTGTCAGTGCAGACATTTCCCCCTCCTTTATTTTCCTGCCCCTCGTCCAACCTTACAAGTGACAGAAGTCTTGTGACCGCTGGCTTTATTGCTGGCTCAGCAGCAGGCGCGCGGCAGGGAAAGTTTTCGCCGGACCTCCCCGCCCCCGACAGCCCTCAAGCTGTCACAGCCGGCCCGCGGCCACCGAATCGTTTTCCCAGCTACTCAACTCACTTTTCAAATTAATTCAACCGACTCTCGTTCCATAGAAGTCCGATTTCCGAGTCCCAAGAAACTATCTCAATGGCGAACGGGGGGTCCCTAAAAGTCTCCGGGAGCAGACTCCTCCCAGGACCACAGGTGGGAATAGGAGGCCCTCAGCAACCACCTCCTCCCCCGACCTGAAAGGACCAATTTGTCAGATGCGCGACTTCTGTCACTAGTGATGCGACATCTGGACAAGAGTTTAAAGACAGAATTTTCCATGTGCAAGAACTTGGAGCGGAAGAAGAGGTCACAGCAACTGCTACACGCGCTCACCTTCCTTCCGCGCCCCTCAATATCCAAACGCCGGGCGTGCGCGGGCTCTGAGGGCGGGAAGCCGGGCGGGCACAAGCCCGGGACAGCCGAGACCCAGCGCCTGGGATGCGGAGCTCGGGCCAGCCCAGGGGGCGCCCACCTTATCCGAGCAGAGAGGCGGAGGGGCAGCAGGGGCCCGGCAGCCTGGCAGCTGAGCGGCGGGGCGGAGGGGCGGCCCTTCTGGGCGGCGGTGACCAGCCCGGCCCCGCCCAAGCCC